TCCTGTGCGAGTGCCCGGAGTTATCGTCAATAAGAGAGTGTGTGTTCGGCGAGTCTTGGCCTACACCTGCCGATATAAAGGAGATGTCTCCCAGCGACCTGTCCACCTTCCTGGAAAGGACAGGATGGACGACGACCTAGGAGGACAACTCCTCGGGAGGATGTACAATGGGTCACATGTGGCCTAAGTGCGTGGGCTTACACTCACCCTCCCTACTCTACAGATACAGATAGGTCATTGCCATTTGAATCACCATATGCAGAGACTCGGACTGTCGGAAGACAGTGTGTGTCGCATCTGTTTGGAAAATGATGTAACAGCAGGGCACATACTTTGTACCTGCCCTGTTGGGGACGGAATAAAGTTTTCAGAGTTCAGCAGATACGTACTCTTACCATCTGACCTAAAAGACCACTCACCATACAAACTAATCGGCTTCGTTAAGAAGCTGGGTTGAATAGGTGTGAGCCACAAAAAACCCTTGCGGGTTGCGGTGGAGGGTCGAATAGACCTAAACCAACCTAACCTAATCACTTAAAATGGTTTATATCATACGCAGTTTTAAATTATTCATCTTATAGACTTTTGAAAAGTACATGAAAATATCCTGTTCAGTTAAGTGTCTGAAGCGACTGAAAAGCGACTTCAATTTTTTTCAAATCAGCAAAATTGTAAAATCTGAGTTCACTGAGTAATATGTGTTAGACGTATTTCCGAGTTTGGTGTAAAAACTTCTGGAGAAAATAGTAGATCTATATTCAAGAAACTAAACAGTTTTACAAAAACGCAATAGATGTTTCGCTCTACAATCTATTGTATTGTGGAACACGTTCAGTGAAAATTTCACAATACAGTGTTTGTTCGAATACGTTATGGATTTTCATCAAGTATCGGCCGATTCCATTATAGTAGTTCTATATTTGGTAACGACCAAAGCAGAGCACCCCTCTCTTGATGAAGTGATAGCACATTGAAGTTAATATAACTTTCGTGTATTCTTATAAGTTTACTTTCCAATAAGAGACCTTCAAATAACAGTGGAACAAGAAACATTAATTTTCTGCGGTCTTAAAAATAACCAATTAGTATATATCAGGCTTCAATAAACTTCCAATTAGTGCAACATCATGTTCCAACTTTTATGATACCCGAAATATTTTGGCAATATAACATGGAAACATTTAGCGATATATCACGAAGTGCCTGATTGCATAACAATCAACTATATGATACCCAACAACAATCACTTTCTTCATAGTTCACCACGAGATTTTGTGAACACCATCAGTTCCTTCATTGTTTCAACAAAACGAGTTATTTTACGAATTGACATTTCAACAATATCTACGAATATTGCGAGATATTTTATCTAAATAAAACAAATCAACAACCTTGGTTACAGACGAGTAATAATTGTAAACCTTAATATTGTTACATAATTATAAACTACTCTCGGCTTCAGGAGAATTTTCACCGACATAATTCCTAGACACGACCAGGACGGTAATTAAAAAATGTTCAACAAAGCGGAAGATGGATTGAAGTACCTGTTTGTAAACAATTATGTAGATACTGGTAAATTTGCGAACTTTAAAGAATGAGTAAATTCGTCAGATAAATGAGAACTTGGCCATTTAAAAATAAAATGGGATTATATAATGAATTGACCACGTAGAATTGTTTTCTCTCAGTGATATACAAAACTATATGCGACACCCTGATTTGGCCATGTTACATGATTTGAAAAGAACGCCAGCTCTATTTCTCTTTGAAAGATTAAAATCTGTTTTTCTGTTAATCAGCTGTCACACTCCTACGAACGACAACTCTCAGAAGTCGAAACTTGTGCGAGCTAAGAACTAACGAGGTCTTACCTTTTAACGTGTGATTCCTAACGTGTAACAAATTTTATAATTGCTTGCTCTTCCAGTGAAGGTTTTTGAATGTAACATGGTGTCCTTTACCCGCGGTATACAGAAATGAAATATCTTATTTTGTCAAATTGTGGTTTTTACTGAATAGTTCAAGATTCTAGATCTACAAAACGTATGTTATATAGAAAACTGATATTTTGCCAATAAATATGATATGTGGTGCTGCAGGTTTTTCCAGGGGCTACAGCTGAAAAAGCAAAAGCGCCACTTCAATTAATTTTTGTTGTTTCATAATTTCATAATTTTATTACTTTCTTTCCATAATTTTTGATACTAATATGTTGTTAAACTTGCTAGTTTCTGATCACTGCACACTTTTGATTCTTCAACAAGTTCAACAAGTTATTTGATGACGTTTTTTAATATTTTTTCCAATATCTGAGAAATAAACAAAGTTGAATCAGTAGAGAATGATATTTGATACCTCTTAAAATTGTACGATTTTCATAGTCTTGGAGTAGAAAATGAGTTTTAGCCTTCATGCGAATTTATGCAGTATGATAAATTGTAGTACCCTTTTTGATATAAACAAAAAACTAATTTCACGAAGTCCTTACATGTATTTATCACGTTCGCATATTTTCCTCATTTTTGTAGGCGTTTGGTTAGAAAAGATTTCAGTCGTAATTTATATCAAAATTTACCTATGACAGCCTTACAAAAACTTTTGACAAATTACCCCCAAATTGGGTTCTTGTTTTGACTTCTCTAAGATTTTTACTCACATCATCCACCACCTGCAATTGATGATATAAAATAATTATAAGGTTGAAAGTCCATTTCTACTTCAGGACTATAAACATCATATGATATTGAATTTGAATTCGGATTGGACATTACAAAGCTTCAATTCAATATTTATTACCAATAATTTTCATTTCAAACTTTTAGGTATATGCTTCACCCATCCACCAGTAGCAGCGGGGAATACCTCCTTACCTTCGAACCGCCCCGTTATAAAGAACAACAAAATTTCATTGTCAAGACCCCTTGCGACCAAAGACAGTCCAGAGGCAATCAAACTCATATAGCAGGCAGCATGGAAAAAGCGAAGAAACCTCCCGCTCTCTGTCAAAGTTACGCGGGACAGCTCTGCAATCCTTGTGTACAATCAGGTTCGAGCAACGGTGATAATACCAGTCTGGATGCTTACGATTTAGCAAGTTCGTGTTGTGATCCGCGGTGCGTTCCTTCCAACAGAAGAAGATCTCGTAGTCATAAGGACCATAGAAAAAGAGACTCGAAGACTGAGGAAACTCAGACTGATCCTCCACAGACAAGATCTCGGCCACATTCCCAGTCATCGCAGACGACTGCAAATACTCAAAGCTTTTCCGCACCGAGAAGGTAAGCAACGAAATACGTTTATTAATTATCAGAGAAAATAATATTCGGGGTAATAGGCCATGGTTGAAAAGAACGTGTGCTACTGCGGCAGTGTCAGTGGTATGCGAAGACGAAGGTTGTATATCGAAGTCTCAGCAACGACTGACTGGCGAGCTATGTACTCACTCATACTTATAATTTTAGAGAATGATGGTGGTGATGATGAAGATTATTCTCCGTTTCACTATCACTGTCGTCATTTGAAACAATAATGAATTTATTTCCACCATTAATATGGAAGTGTCCAATCTCCATATAGTCTTTTTCAACTAAAATTACTTTTTTATTTCTTTTCTGCCAATCTTCTTCGGTAATATTAGATACTTCTTCTTTAACTAGCTCTATCACCTTCTTATCAAATTTTGGAAAATTATTTTTATGCCTGATGCTTTCCCCAAATCAACTCGATGGGATTGAAAACATAAAAATAGGGGGGAAGTCTCAATACGGTGTGTCCATACTTTTCAGCAATACTCTCAATGGCATACACTTTTCCAAATGTTTTTGTCTGTAAAACTTCAAGTAGTTGGTTTTTGGTATAGCTTTCTTCAAAATACAAATTGTTATCCATTTAAAAACTTTGTATTTCATCTTTCCTCGAATTTTTATTCGGTACTTTGATGAGCTATCGCGAATGATAGGAAACTATTACACTATTCGCATCCAAATTTGGGATCAATGTGTTTTCAAACGATTCCTGAAAAATATTAGCTTCCATGTTCTTATGATAGTCAACTTTGCAGTCCTTAAGTTTTTTCCACATAATTTCAAAGAATTCGGAACCCAATGCACAATGATTAGTCGCGATCCTTTGTTTGCAGGCATGTTAGGCGTACACATTCTCGAACCATCAGTCCACCCTTTCGTAACTGTGTCGTGAGTTTCGTACCAAGTTTCGTCTAGATAGAAAATTTTCCGTTGTTCTTGTCTATATTTAGTTATTTGTTCTAAGTATTTATTACGCAATTCCACTATTCTTCTGCTTTCTATAACTGCTTGACATTCGTTTATTATTTTAAATCTAAATCCTAGTTTCTTTATCCAATTCTGAATAGTTTTGTCACAGCAGCTCACGTTATGGCCGGAAGTATTCAATTTCTTCCTTATGATTTCAATTGTAGGAATCTCATTGCTTTTGTAACAGTCGTATTTTTTTTTAATGTTTTCATTAGATGAACATCTAAAGGTTTTGGTAATTCCGCATCAAATCGCGTCTTGCGTTCATAAGGTTTGTTTTTGACTATTTTACGTACAGTTGAGAATGGAATTTCGGTCAAATCTGATGTTGCTTGTAATAGTTTTTTTTCCCTCAAAACCAAACTTGATATGTAGATTCTTCTATACATTGAAACATACTCTTTGTGTTTTAATATTAAAATGCATCCGAATCTTATTCGCATTGTTCACCAGCGCTATTGGAATCACTACACAGGAAAAAGTCTGCGTTGTTATCACACTCGTTATCACTATTAGTACTTGTCCAAGGACGCCACATTTTAAACAGATAACAAACATTTTAAGTAATTATAACTTCACCAATATCGAATTTCAACACTCAAATCGCGATCAGTTCCTGAACTGAACATTGACGATACAACGGCGGTACTCATCGCTACATTCTGTTGGTCACCGTAACATGACTTTAAATTTAATTTTATGACTCTTCAGCCAATCATAAAACTCAGTTAGTAAAAATTATCCAATACGAACCGCCAATTTTTCAGTCCACGTGAACTAATTCGTTGCGGCATAATTCCTATGTATTGGTTTTTTTGGCCTTTGACTTCGCCGACACCTTTAAGATTACTATATCGGTTACTTCGACTATATCAGAGTTAGAATTAGTCTACTTCATCTACTAAAGACGCCAACTTTGTTGAGGAAACGCTGGTGTTTATGAGAGTGTTGCACTTCTGGTGTTTAAAAGAAGTGATTTATTTGAATTCACCTAATTATGTAAGAAGTCAGAAAATAAAAAAAAACTGTTTGAAAAAATCTGTTTTTCCGTTAATCAGCTGTCGCCTCCATACGAACGACAACTCTGAGAAGTTGAGAAACTTGTGCGAGCTAAGGACTAACGAGGTCTTACCTTTCAACGTGTGATTCCTAACACGTTAGGTTGTGGTCCTTCTACACTTCCGCAATATAATAGTATAGTGTCGACATGAATTGATAACAATCGTTAAGCCATGTCATTTATCAGTATAGTTTCTCATGTCTTAATCTAGATTCAACTATCTCTTTGCCAAATTTCATACAAATCCGTTCAGCCGTTTTTGCGTAATTGAGTAATAAACATCCAAACATTGGAATATATAAACTTTCACTTTCATAATATTGATATTTCGAAGAAATCAGGTTTCTAGGAATGACCTTCGATAAAGTGTTAAACTAGATTATAAGTTTAACTGGAATTCCCATGTTCAGAAATTGAAAAAATCCCGCCAGAACTTCTGAATCTCATGAAAGTTATATTCAACTATTCTGGGGGAGCAGATTGAAATTAGATTATGATTATGTTGTAATTCTGCAATAATGAAACATTTTTCTTCCTCCAAAAAATAAGGCATGTCCCCCATTTCAAAAAAAGTTCAGTTCCTTCAGGAAAAAAAAATACAGAAAAAATGAATTTTTTCATCGAGGCATTGGAACTTTATTTTAAAAAATTTCTATATTTCACAAACTTCTCTTTTCTTTTATTCCAGGTATTTCCACATCGGAGCAGGCCTAGTAAGCCAGTGCAGTCTACACTCGTGTACTTCTAGCGAAATCAGCAATGTAGTACCTACTACAATAGCCGAAAGCTCAGCTAATAGTTACACAACTTCTCTAAGCACCGACACCCTCTATTGGGACGGTTCCTGTGATACTTCCAGACAGTTAAGTGTTAAATCTAATAAACATGGCGATCACCAAAGATACTCACAACAACCCCAACAGCAAGAAACGATCTACGTTCAATACAACCAAGTGAATAAACCAAAGTCTTGGGACAATTTAACAACGAAAGCGTTTGGTGGTTATGGATTTGGGTACGGATACCTAGACACCTCTTCCAAATGTGCTCAGAAAAGCAGTCGGCCTCATACTAAAGCACAAGGTACACAGTACATTAGGGTAGACAAGCAGACTGGTGGTAACTGTCCTGGACAACCACAGTATACACCACATACCCATCGGAGGTGAGTTTATTTTTGTGGTTGGTCGAACTAGGAAATACAAAAATCTGGCAACTGAAGATTTCGATATCTTCAAATCTGTGTTCATTTCTACAATATTCAACACACAATTTTCTACCACTGCAATAAAATATTGTTCCTGCACGACCCTTTCTTTCATATTCGATATGGCCTATTCTTTTGAATATTTTGAAACATATCACTATTCAATAAATTGATTGGTGTAGCCGTTACTATGTAGTAGGAGGTCATCATGAAAAATGGGAAATGAAACTTTATATGTTAATTGTAACTATCGTTACTGCAGTGTCATCCTATATGGACATTTTCAAACTAATAGAATAAAACTGAAAATAATTAATAATGTTAGCTTTATATAACTAAACACCACTGTATGTAATAACAGAGGTACTCAACTCAAGTGAGTACCTGACATTTGATAATTACTATTCCATCACCAAACCGTTATTTTAACACCTCGACACGTGTTTCGATCACCATGTGATCATCTTCAGGAGAAAAATTAAACTAAAAATACACCCTTACCCCTCTCGGGTTGAGTTCCCTGGGGTAAAAACTCCGCCCACAAAATAAATTCTGTGAAGAAAACTATCCCATTCCTTCCACCCCCGCGCTATTGCGTGAGCGGTCCTCAATCCTTGCTGATAGGCACTTCAGCAAGATTGACATCTGACCTCCTTCGGTCGAAAGTCAGCCTTAAGTTGCTTTTACTTTCTAAACTAATGTTTTGTTTTATCTTGGCTTTTCTCACTGAATTTTTGCATTGGGTCCCCAAAAACTAACCGGAGACTATCGTTTAAAAAGAGATCGCGGTAGATTGCTTCTTGTTGAACCTGAAAAGGAAGTGTTGTTATCTCTTAAATAACTTTTATACTTACTGAAGCCGCCTGACAACGACTCTCGGAGGTGGACGTTGGTTCTGCTTGGTTGGCGTTCTATGTTTATCTCTCTCTCGGAATCTGGAGGTCATCCCTGTTTAATGCATTATGTAGATTGCGTAGCGCTGGATTGTCGTGCGCTCGAATGTTGTCAAACGCGTCTACTGCGTGTCTCATATATCATATATGCGTCTACGTAGTATATTATGTTCAGGTCTAGAACCCGGAATATGTACCTATTCGGTGCATATCTTGGAGCGTTTACAGCAGCCTCTACGCACGCGTTCATAAACGACTGGATCTGGTTTGTGTATGTCGCTGTGCACTGGCCCCAGACAGTGCAGGCATACAGGATTTTTGGAAGTAGTATGGTCTTTATCGTCAGCAGCTTCACTTTCAGTTCCATGTTGCTTCTTCGACCTATTATTGGTAATAGGTTTTGTCGGGCAGATCTCGTCATTCCTATTATCTGCCGTACGTGAGACCTAATTGTTAATATTTTGTCTAGCGTGACTCCCAGGTATCTAGCTTCGTTGGTCCACGGAATCTCTTATCCGTTGAAGGTGACGTTTCCTTCCGGGTATGTCCGCCTCCGGGTGAACAGTATCGCCTGTCTCTTGTAAGGGTTTATACTGATCTTCCACAGGTTAGCCCATTCCTCAAATCTGCCTGTTGCAGCAAGTATCTAGTAAGTGCGCCCGGCTTATTGATCTCGCCAGCAACTCGCCGCAACAACAAGTTGGCGTTCTACGCGCCAACTTGTTAAAGATGTTCTCCGGCTTGGGCACGTCTGTTATGTATACAGAGAAGAGGTGTGGCGAATGGACTGCAACTTGTGGTACCTCTGCTTCCAGTAGTCGCATGGTTGAAAGTTCTTGTCCTACTCTGCAGCGGCATCGCCTGTCTGCTAGAAAAGACTCGGTTAATCTTACCATTTAGTTCGTGTAGCCAAAATTGCTCATTTTGGCCAGAAGTCCGTCATGCCAAACTCTGTCAAACGCCTTGGAGACGTCTAAGAAAATCGCTACGGTGTGATATCCTTTGCCAGTAGGCCGTCATGATTGTTCCATTGCGTCCAATCAGTTATACTCATCCCACGGGGTGGGGAGTGATCATTGGCTATTGATACCAGCGCGTCTCGAAGTATTTGCTGATACTTCGTCATTAGAGTCAAGGCATAAACCACTGAAGATGTTTGCTTCAGTAGCAGACGAAACGTTTGACATTAAAAGTTCTGTTCAACCACGGCCTACCAAACCAGATTTTATCCTCTCTGATCGTGACTCCGGCCATGAAAGCCTATGTTCTTATAATAAAAATTATTGTTGGCTGTGACTATAAATATTCCCAAAGCATAAACGAAATAACCAATTGTGATTTGTATTAAAACTGTGTTATTCATTATGAATTATATAAAGGAAGAGTTATTTGGAATGACGTATGTTTTGGGCGCCGCGCTGGTGAAAAAAATGTTTTTTGGCTTCCCATATATATGCTGCAAAATATTCTGATTTCTGATAGAATATATCAAATAGTGATATCATGCAAAATGAGAAATGAAACTTCCTATTAATTAAATGGGTATATTTTTTGGGGAGACTAATTTTTGGGAAAGAAAGTTTTTGGCATTCTGCTTCTCCATCTTGATACAAAAATGTGGTAATCTTACAAAGATGTAGATGAAGAAGGCCAAAAACTTTTTTTCCCAAAATTAATCTCTCCTAAAAGTATACCCTTTCAATTTAATACCGCAGAAGTGCTGGAGACGGTAATAAAGCACCTCATGCTAATAAATACAGGTACTATTGATCTATTACGACGAAAATATTAAATATTTAATGTTTTCTCTTCAGGTACTTTCAACCCACTAAATCAACAGAAAGTTTGCTGTCAGTTCCGAAATACTCTTCAGAAGCTTTATCAGATCCGAGTCTTTCCTGTGAATGCTTAGAGCCTGTATCTCCAGGGCCGGACACAACTGAAAGTCGTTTCTTCCAGAGTCCAAGGCAGAATGTCATCAGCCCGACTGACCCAAATTTCGGTTATTATAGCGCACGTCGAAATTCTAAAAATGAATATCCAAAAAATGTTTCTACGAGTTCAGAAGCTACCAGGCTGTAATTTTTCAATTTTGTAACTTTTGCCATTTATTCAGTGAATTATAAATACAAATGAAAGCATGACTCAACTGAATATATAAAATACAATACTAGCATAAAACTTTATCTCTTTTTCATTAACACTTTCTACTTACCCAGTGAAAAGATTGGAAATAATATAAGAGATGAACTGCAGACATTCAGTGGCACAGTAAGACGGGTCGAAAACGAATTCATCAGGATCAACGAACTGGCCACAGATGAAAATAAAATTGGTGGTGGTCTTATTTACCTCACAGAAGAGATGAACAGAAAACTACCTGAGCAGGTGATAAAACTAAAAGGCCATCTACGACGGTCTTATCAACAGCGACAGGACCAGTACAAGGTAAAATCCTCGAACTTTTGACTTTCGATATATATTTATCAAGAGGCAGCAGCCAACGTCTAGTCGGAAGAAAATGGGAAGACATTAGTTCAAGCGCGAAAAGAAGCCAAAGAAGTCAATCAAAATATCGAAAAAATTCCAGCTCAGAACTGAATGGAAAAACTGAATTTTTCAAGAAGCCTTGTTACAACTATTGAAAAAGTTATCTGTTGAAAACAAGCAAGGTCACAGGTTATACACAAAAGGGATTCGACAAATGCAGAGGAGGAGCAGGATACTCTCAGGTCGGAACACAGTAGCCCATGGAAAAAAAAAGTTTCGAGGATAGTGTCACTATTTTTCGGGTTTGAAGACCGTGAATTTTTGGAATTTCTTCCTGACGTTTTCCTGGCGCGAGTGGCTAGCTTCTTCAGAGATTTATCATCCTGGATTACTATCCGATGAGGTAGATATTGTGGAATGTTATTGAATACTTTCAAATGCTCTGGATTGTTCTAGAACTTTCTAAAGGGCGAAACTTCCAGTCTCAAAATCTTCAAAAGCACGCAATTCAGGTAAAAACTGGATGTAGGATATAGGGCTACATCAATTTATAATTTCCTTGAACATTCCACATTGATCTGGAATGTTCCGAATGTCCCAGGTCATTTTAGAACATTCGAACACATTCCAAAATATTCCGGAATGCTGTGTAATGCCCTAGAACTCCCATGAATGTTCTGTTGATGAATATATTTGAATAGACTGTAGACTGTCTTGGATAAACTATTCTAGAACTTTCTAGAGAGCTTAACTTTCAGATCTCATATCTTCAAAAGCACTATCTTGAGGTAAAAACGGAAACCCTCGTGGACAAGCTGATGTGACGCTATGATATAAATAAATGTAGACATATATGCTCTGCTGCCCGTACGAAGCCGGGTCTGTTTGCTAGAACATAACAATATATCAATCTTCATGTTGAACAGATTGAATTTCTCCAGTGTAGGTAGTAGACTTTAATAGGTAATTTATACATATCTGTCATAGACGTAGGTAATAATTTGTTAAAGATTGGAAGGATTGCTAATTACAAAACATTCTTTTATTCATATTATTGAAAGGTGTGTAATATTTTTTTGAGTTTCTCTGTGATATTAGTACCCTCGTGTAACTATTGACGTATTTTTTATATTTGAATATGTGGTGAGTAACAATGCTCCCACGTTATTTTCTTTTCAGAAAATATCGGTACCACTGTATTTCGTCCCATTTTATGATATGAAATATTTTGTCCCTGTCTGGTATTTGGCATTGTAAAGGAGATTAGTCTGCCTCAGTTATCAAAAATCCAATCTTTTTTTTCGCAACTACTAGTTTATTGTTTTCTGTTGTCTTTAAAATAAATTTCATCATTAAAGTACAGTACAGGTTTTATAAAAGCCACAAAAAATGAAAAACAATATACTTATTAGCATATCTAGTTCTGAATCTGGTTCAATGCAGTTTATCCAGAAACTTCTTTTGCTATTTAAGAAAATGGATAGATATTATTCATTTGACCACCACAGATGATATTTCTGACGATAACTTTAGATTTATCAATTTCTACTGAGGGATAAACAATGTAATGTTTTGACAAGGCTGCTAATTGACAATATGATAGTTACAATTCCCCAGCCCTAGAGATGGATGGGTGAAGAATCACTATTAAATAACTGTTCTAAATTTTCTTAAACATGGCATTGAGGTAGAAACAGAAAATGAATAAGTCTTAGTCATTTCCTGATAATGCTAATTTGGTTAGAGAAACACGCGACGATAGACAACAATTTTGTTATAACCCACAGTGCTAGCCGTATTTTGGACTCTTCGCATGTCTCAAGTGTTTAGTTTGCGAGCGGCATATACTGTTGACAGTGAACATATTACCTAAAACTATCACCGCTTTTGGAAGTGATTTTGAAAAATTTGATGAAACAAGCAGAAGATGATACTCGGAACATTACAGATAAGTTTAATAATATAATACTTACCATACGATGTATCAATAACAAGCATTATAAAAATCTAACCAAAAAGCACGTAATATTCTTTTAATATGTGAAACGTGGCTTAAAAATGATATTATTAATTTCGTGTAAGTACCTACATTATTGTATCATTATTTAATACTACAACAGTAACAATTGGCTTATGGTAGCTATAATATATGTACATACACAAAATGATCCATAAAATATTTTATTAATAAATAACATTTTATTACATTATCATATTAATATACATAAAATGTAAGTGAACCTAAGCTTTCCTCAAGTTAAACAAGGTCAATATTAAATAGTTCAACTCGGATTAGTTTAAGTTATCACTTCTGTGGGGCGTCCCGAGACTGAAAATTACTGATATCAAATATCAGTAAACCATGACTAAATTGATTTTCGTGCTATACCTATCAACAAATTCGTGTATTTTGAAATAAAAATTTGCATAATTCAAATTGACTCTCTTGTGAATTACAAGTTATGCTGTTTTGTTTGTATGCATAAGTGTCAAAAAAGCATAAACAGTTTAACGGTTCACATTTTGGACTTTAACATGATTAAATTAGGTACCTAATTAATAATAAAATGCATCATGATGATTTGAATAGAGTTTAGGTTTCGTCAAGCACACCAAAACAAAACAAACTGAGAGGAGATTTTTATGGTTATATACCTAAGAAATCAATATATTATCTATGTCAGATAAGGAAGATGAGCATGTGAAAATCGAAAAATACAAAGAGATACAAAGTCGGTTGAATTAGGAAAAAGTTAGAGCTTTTTTGTTTGATGTAGGACATTAAAAACTGAAAATCACTTTTTCGTTGCTACCTTTAAGATATACAGAGTGGTGTTCACAGGTTTTTAATTCTACTTTTTTCTTCGAGAAACCATTACTGAGCCGAAATAAAGAATCACCCGGTGTAGTTAGCATTTTTGGCGACAACTCTACTTTCACTCTATCTTGAAAGTAATATATATTACGTCGAGATTCGAAAGTTAAACCAGAGAACATCATTCAAAGAAGATGTGTAAATGAACAGAATGTAGAAAGGCACATACTTCTCTGACCTATTTTACAAGTGGTTGGGTGAAGAAAACACATGATCAATTACTGATACCAATAGGTTGGTCGGTAGCCAGGCGGTTCGACGGTTTGTTCACTCACTCGAATTGGTCGGTGTGTTCAAGCCCTAGTCTGAACGATCGATTTTCACTTGCTACGTCCAACCCGTGTTAGAAATCACACGTTAAAAGGTAAGACCTCGTTAATCCTTAGCTCGCACAAGTTTCGACATCTGAGGGTTGTCGTTCGTAGGAGTGCGACAGCTGGTTGACGGAAAAAACATAATTTGAACTGTTTATATACATTTCACAATCATATGGTTCTAGTTCCTATTTGCTTGAATACTAACTTTTTAGACAGAAATACAGCAATGGATTTACCAGAATTTAGTTTCAGAAGAAGGCATCATATTCTAAAAGTTTTCATGTTAGTCATCAATTTCTCCAGGTTTTTTGGGAACCCTCGTATATTTTCACGAAAAAATATATTAACAATTCGATTTTACACCGTGATATCGTTATAAAAAGTTGAAATAACGAATAAAAGAACTGATTTCAGAACGTGTGTTTTGTTCATTTTGTTCACACTATTCTTATTCCAGGTCAGTCACTCCAACTCAAAAGTCATTCGCTCTAGACTTATTCTTTAATTAATGAAGAGTCCTTCGATTGATTCATTTATTGGTCCATTTGAAGTGTTAGCGCATTTTTTTTGGTTGAAGCAATCGATCGGATCTTAATTCAAGAACTCGCCTTCTCTGCTCGATCAGAATACATCGAGCAGATATAGCGAACAACTTTTGGCGGGATTGACTAAATGTCAACAAAACAGAACTAATATCGAGAAGGGAGAGCGAATAAATGTTGGAGGGAACGGTTCAATGTCCAATCAGGAATAAGATTAGTGCCAACAAAACATATCTAGAGAATATAGAGATCTGCTGTTATTCAGGTCAGCCTCTTGATTATATTTATTTCATATTATTCATATTTCTATTGTTACGATGCGAGTACAATGCCCTTCAGTTTATCTACTTTTAACCTTGATAAGTATTGTTTACTTAGTGAAGTGTAGTGATTTCGGTACGTACATACATAGATTACTGCATGAAATTTAACCTAGGAATTGAATTATTTTTCAGTTCACGATAAAATGGAGGCTCACGAGGTTGTTCCAGATGTTATTGACGTTGCACCTGATCAAAAAATAGAGGTAATGTTTTATTATTTTTGTCATGTAATTAAGTTTACAAAGCTATACCTGTTCTGTTAGCGATTACGATTTCATTACACAACTCTTTCGGTGAAAAATGCCGGGTGTCGTACCCATGATAATCCAATTAAACCTTTCATTAGCAACTATTATTTGGTATATCAGAGTATAAGCGTAATTTTATCGATAATGTATAATTCATAAATTTATTCCATCGGCCCTAATGTACCCATAACACAATGAAAATGGCGTCTTTAACTTCCTCAATTCATTTCCAACGGTCAATTCAATGACAATTTCATACGCATAACAAATATGAGACGTTATTGAAAGTTTCTCTGCTTTTTTATATCATTCGAAATGCAGGTGGTAGAGTCAAAAAACAAAATTCGGTAATATTTCAAAAACAACCACTGGTATTCCCAATCTGAAAAGATATTATTCTAGTTTTACTTTTGTCCAATTAAACCGACCTTGTAGGTCTTACCGTTTCCTGTAGACATCATAAAATAACCGTTTCCGAGATAGCAATAGTGGAATCAGTTAAAAAAACGACTAGTAGGGGAGACTGGGGCAAGATGAGTTAGCTAACACAAAACTCGTTGTACAAGGAAAATTAAACTCTTTAATAAAATTCTTTAACAAAAGAGGTAACCATTATACATTTCTCTCTTATAATTAAACGTTGTAGCATGCAAAATCACAGAACTTTTTTTGGCAAATAATGAAAAAATAAACTCGGCAAATTTCCCATTTTGCCCCATAACTGGGGTAAGATGGGAAACGCTATGGGTCAAAACGAGTACGCTTTTTAATCGAGTAGACAGGGTTCACAAATGTGTGCCTCTTCATCTTCCTCATCTACTCCGGCACATGAATTATGCCCCAACCGTGGCACACGCCGCAGATGACCCAACCTTCGGTTGAATCTGAGTATAAGTACCCACAATAGATGCAAGCACAGTCATCATCCTCTTCTTGGGATGAACTATCTTCCGATTCAGTTTCTTTTTTCACCTTTTGGTTTGACGCTTTTTCTGCAGGTTTTCCTTGTCAGTTGTCTTTTTAATCTTCTTTGCAGCCTTTTTTCCAGGTTTCTTTATTTGTTTTTTACCTTTTTCAGTCACTTGATTATCAGTCTTTTCTTATTTTTACCTTCTTTAATACTTATATCTTTCATGAGTTCGTTTTTGTAAGGTGATTCAGTTAGTATTGCAGTCTTCCCTCGTTTTCTAGTCTTTCTCTCCTAAGTCCTAACTTATTTAGGTATAGCCATAATATTTTCAGGACTTACCAGAGAAGAAGAAGTTACTCTTTTTATTTTCCTTTCGGGAGTTTTGTCTTTAGCTCGAAATGTTGACTTCGAAGGTTGCTCGGCCAATGTTTGTTCAGGGTTCTTTCTAGTATTAATAATCTCGGGAGAATATCTATTGAAGTTGGCATCTGCAGCAACGTTTTGGGAAGATGTGGTAGTCATAGAAATGTCAATTTGAGAATTCAACGAGACCAGGGCATCATTGTTATTCGAAAAGGATGTGGCTGGGTCAACAATATTTGCTTTTTCAGTGGATAAAACTGGATGGACAGCATTTTCTGAGGATATCAGAGGCTCTGGAACACTCCCTTTATCAATTTGTAAGTTTGGATTAGAAATAATGTTTTCTGTATTTTCTGACAAACCACGACCATTTTCAGCCTGAGAACAAATAGCTGAAGGAGGTACATTATTTTGCTGGGTTGCAGACAAAATTTGTCCAAGGTGAGCTGAAGGGGATGGCCGCGATAGATTTTCTTCAGTGATTGCTGGTTCGAATGTTTGAGTTGATGAAGGATTTTCCACATTTAGCTCTTCTCTTGCCAGATTTTCTGTGTTAGTCGTCTCTGCAGCTATGAAATCAGGGACCGTAAAAACATCTTTATCTAATGGCCATATACCACATTTACGAAATCCATTTATGGCTGTGAGCATTGTGGTTGCTTTTAAGTAAGCTTGTCCAAAAAGTTTTGCCACTTGATATGGTGTAACCACGCGACCAGGGTGATCTCTCAGCCATTTTTTCACTTCTGCACTATAGTACGTGCTTAAAGGTCTCATGAAAGACACGTCTAAAGGCTGCAATTTGTGAGTGCAGTGTGGTAGTGTACATAATACAATCACATTATTTTCTCTTGCATAATCTATTAGGTCAATATTTTTGGTATGTGAAGAGTGACCGCCTAACAGAAGCAATACAGGCTTTTCTTTTGTTGGTTATGCAAACTGCACGAATGATTTAAACAAATCAAAAAATATTTTTGTCGTAATCCAGCCATTGTCACTGCAAGTGCCCCAAAGCCCTGACGGAGCATCATCCAAAAATTCTTCTTTCATGCGCTTCCGAGCGTATATTAGCATAGGCGGGACATAGGTGCCAACGGAATTAAAACAAATTTCAGCAGTGACCAACTGGCCTCTCTCTGCTGATGAGAGGCAGCCGACTTGCTTCTGGCCCTTCATTGACAATATCTTAGATTGACTTTTTTGAACAGTACTGATCCCCGTTTCGTCTACATTGTAGATCCTTTCAGGCGTCAGTTTATGTTTATCTATTACATTTTCCAACAATGTAAGAAATTTGTCGACTGCCACTCTGTTAAAACCCATCGCTCTTGCGGCTGATGTTGGTTCTGGGCGTCTGTATGCTAGATCAGGGTGTCGTTTTAAAAACCCGCTGAGCCAATCTTCTCCTGCCATACCAGTTTCTGTATTAAATGGGTTATCTATGTGATTCCGCTGAGCCAACTGATAGCTATAATACGAAGCTCTTTTCCTGTTGAATCAAAAAGCCGTGCTTCCATAGATTTCACATACTCCGCCGGCTCATTTTCTTGCTCGGCTGTGAAAACAGTTTTGAATCATCCCAAATGTTTTTTCCCGCAGTCGTTATCAGAATCAGTGTCGGCATTGACAGTTTCACGAGCTTTTCTTACTCGTCGTTCTAAGGTCGACTTCGGAACATCGTATGTAGCCGAGACTCGAAGAAATCCCATTCTATCAGTAAGAACAGCATTTACTGCTCTTCTCATATCTTCTTCGTTCCATTTGCCACGATCTGTTTTCCGTTTATAGTTGCGAACCATATTATCTGTAGACAAATAAATAAATAAATATTTTTGATTACAAATATTATCAGTACATAGAAAATATTATTTTAATCACAAGGACGGGGCAAAACGGGATAGTATCCCATTATGCCCCGATCCACATGTAGGTGAAAAAGATGATGCAATTGTAACCTCAAACTTTACCGGCGAAAAAAATCTGGTTTGAATTTAATGTTTTGGACTACTATAATAAGCTCGGGATTGAAATAATACATTAACATAGGTACTTACATGTCTGTACATCAGTTTTCGAATCAAATATCGCGTAAAAATACTTGCAATATCACTTTTTTCTCTCTGCAACGCAAANATGAGTTTACCGAACGGCGTTTTCCTATAGGAAATGAGGGGTTGACTCCATCATTTCCATCGGAAATGTATCTATTTCTAGAGGAAAGTATATAAAAGTCATTAAATAGAAGCAATAACGTTTTTTATTCAGTGCTGCACAAAACAATTAAGAAGGAAAAAAAAACAAATTTGAAACGCACAAATTTACAATAGATATTCGAACTCCCATTTTGCGCTATGCATAAATGTAGTCTATCAACAATTTCCCTTCGAACTTTAATTAAAGTTGATCTTGTAAGAGACCGAAAAACTTCTCTAATCCTAATATTCATGTCTTCTGATGTCGTTGGTTTCTCTCATTAGACCTCTTCTTTAACATATATCCCCATAGATAGAAATCGGTAATTAGTTTCGATTTATCTTACCATGAGTTTACCATACGTCAGTCGTTACTCAGCGAGTTGAGTGCTTATTCCCCGTGGTTTCTATTTTCATCGGCCACGGGGTCGATCTAATGCCGTGTTGTTGGTCTCTGATATTCTTTTTCCCTTTTTGAAAACTTTTGAAAGTCAATTATAAATGATTCTCTTCTTTTGACTACAGGGGACTTTTGTAGGTCATAAAGTGCCTGCAGAAATAATGATATTATCGGCCATAAATATTAGATACATAAGTACCACGTAGGACCTTTATTACGTTTATAAAAAAATTCTCAAGAATATGACAATATTTTGTAGGTCATACACAGCTTGTTTAAATTAAAGAAAACTACAAATATCGTTATATTTTCGTTTCTGATATTTTTTTACACCATTTCTGAAATTTTTATGATAGAAATGGTGAATAATGATATTCTTTTTTCAAATCTAGGTTGTCTCATATTTTGTAAGCCAAAAATTGATTGTCGTTATAACGATAAAAATAATCATAAATCTAACTATTATTATTATCGCGTTTTTGAAAAAATGTCTAATGGATATGATGAAAAATCATTACTATTTTTCAAAAACCGGTTAAATACTGATACCCTTTTTCCGATAACAAATTGTTGCAAAATAGAAAAACTAGAATTGTCGAATTTCGTTTTTTGGTTCTACCATTTTTAATTATATAAAAAAGGCCCAGGAACTTTCCATACTGTCTTATATTTGTTATAGTCTGTAATGAACCAATTTTCAATACGACTTTTTGTTCATTATACTTTATCAGGTGTATGTGTTTATATATTGGCCTTCGCCAAAACGAATATCCCAAATCTAAAGATCCATCAATCTTCATCAAACCCGTACTTCACATCCCAAACGATGAACAGACAGACCACCCGAAAGCTTTTTTTCCTTATATTCATGGAGTTACCGACAAAGTAGACCAAATTCTGAAGATACACGATATAAGAACATTATTCACAGCCAACAATCAAATTTCCACATTTTTACAAACACCTAAGGACACGATTACCAATGAGGCACAGGGCATATACGAAATACAATTTTCCACCTGCACCAGAACTTATTATACAGATCAACAGAAGAGTCTCCAACAGAACCTATTAACATGAGCTTGCTATCTGTAAGTCAGATCCAGCCTCATTCCTCTTCAATCATCATCGTGAAACAGACCACACCATAAGCTTCGAAAATAATGAAACCATTGCCACGGAAAAACTCTCCGGGTCAGGATAATCCATGAAGCTATTGAAATTCGTCCACAGACATAAATACCGAACCACAATAGAAAGCTTTAAAAACTCAGTAGTGTCACTATCCCCACTTTTTGGTAATAAATCATAGCGCGCATGATCGAATCGTAGAAGGAAGTTTTTGGGTGCGCCGTGAATTACCTCGATAATCGGCAACTTTGTCATGTCTGAAAATTTTCCGCTTTTGGTTTATTAGATTGACGACGTTTCGTTTGAGGAATCATGATAAAGCTAAGTTTTGTTGTGGCTAATATTACCACTTTGCAAGAAATATTCCAAGTTCCGATTTATTTCATATTATATTCGTATTTTAAAAAGTATGGAAACAATGTTCATAGAAATGGGAATTTTGAAAAAAAACAACGTATATATTACCAATAGAATGAAGTTTGCAAAGGGATGGCAAATAACGATTTCAGCATCCCTTAATTTGTGGCCAATTTCAAAAGATAAGAGACTGAATGAGTTGAAAATGTAATATTTTGTGCTTATATTTTTAAATGTACTCAAAAAGTGTATTTGTAACAGACACAGATACAGTTCGATTTTATACGTATTATATTATCTATAAAGTATGCAAAAATATTGCATTTTATCCAGTTCTGAGCTACGTTTGAAATTGCAAGTCCCTTCAGCTCCTTGGTAACTTATTTTCAAATCGATTGGAAAATTTCAACTGAACAGAGAAGGAGCAAATGAAAACGTGGAACAATTTGAGTAAAAGATTCGAAGCGATGTATAATATTCTACATTAATACAATATAGCATATTTGAATATGCTATATAGCATATTCAAAGTAAAAACTCGCAACTTCTATGGAAATAGCGGTCACGGGTAAGGTGTATATTTTCATGAAGGTTTCGTAGCCCATTGTTTTATGGTTTTATGCCGATGTTTTATTTTCTCAAGAATAACTTAAATATCTCGTAAATGGTTGATGAAAATGAGTCAAAATCATCTTGAAATTTCAAAACTATCCTAAAATACAGGGTGTTCCATTTTTTATATCTTCAGAATTAGTCATCGATTCCGTACACCTTGTAAAACATTTTGGAAATGTTACTCCTACAAGATGTGAGCATGAAATATTTTGATTAATCAATGAAAGCTTATTTATATATTCTATCAAACACAAGAAATTTATGGAGGAATCACTCACAATTCAATTATGCCAAGTATTCCACAATATGAAAATATACAGGGTGCTACATTTGAATCAAGGAAGTAGGTACCAACTTCCGGTACCTATAGCCAGAAGTTTTGGAAGAACGCCAATATTTTCCCAAAATACTGCTAACTGACCGTCATAGCACTGTACTCTGTATGTATAAGTATCCGGGCCAAGAAATCGCGCAGGTAGCTATGACTGCCAACGTGGTCATGTTAGATGATGCCTAGGAATACTAGTTCTTATTACTGAAACCAAAAATGTTTGTTGGCTCCTATTGGTGACTCCGTGCGTATGTGATGATTCCCATTTTCGTAACCAGGTGTTGCCCATCGTTGTACTTGGCTGCACCAGGCTGTTGAGGTCAATAGCCATAAACACGTCTGATGTTTGCCTTTCTTTTTGAGTATTATGTCCGCGAGCTTTCATCTTTTTAATTTAGATCACACTCATATATAAATAATGTCCACGGCTTTCAGATTCCAAATTTAGCTATTTTTGATTATACTATCGAAATTTCAGTTTAACAACTATTATTACATTTTCTTTGTAGTTATAATCGTTTCAATATAAACGTTATTTCAGCATAGGTAATATTTTGTCAATAAATAGAATAATATTCAGTTATTTTGCAAAAGCGGGCTCTTTAACAGGTTAGGAGAACCAATTTCTGAATACTCCCAGTGAGATTCAGATTTTAACATTCTAAGGTAAGGTACTTTTTTTTTACCCGAATGATGGTAAATTAATTCTACTTATATGTTTATGTGTATTTCGTATCGAAAACGTCTCTGGCATTGTCACATAAGAATCATAACGTTTGTTATAGCAGTGATATATCGTTAGGATATTGAAAATAGATAGCCTGATATATGTTTCAGAGTCCGTTTTCGAACTATCAATTATTTTCGAAACAAGCACTGCTGCCAATAACCAGAACTGCAACACTCTCCCGACGTGCGTTTCACCAACCAAGTTGACGTCTTCAGAAGATGAACTAGACTGGTGTTTGGAGGCAGCACTTGATTTGATTTTTTTCTTTTATTACTTATTTTGTTATGGCAACAAAATGGTGAAACAAATATGTTTTTTGCTTGCCAGCTTTGTTTTATTACCAAATGTTGCAATATCATTTTTTCGATATCTAAATAATGTGTTAAAAATTATAATCAGCCAACTAAAAATATATTATAAACTTTTATGACATTATCTTCTCATAAGAAGTGCTCCAAAAAGTAAAAATGTTTGAATCCTATTAATTGAACGTTTGTTGGCATTTGTGAAAACAAAGGTTGAAAAAAATGTGTATGGTTGAAAAAATATAGATAATTTTTTTTCTATCAGCAACAGTTGTGTTTCCATGGCAATAGCTATTGTATATATAAATGAAATCTCTGATTACTGCATTGAAATCTGTAAGCCGTGAACTTGAACTATAACTCTAAATTGCAACTATAACTCATAACAAAAAAACTAAGAGACTTTATCTACTCAGGTTACTTACCCAAGTGGTGTTAGCGTAGATTTCGGAAATGAACTAACGCCAACCCAGGTCAAAGATGAACCAACAGTGAAATGGAATGCTGAGGAAAATACATATTACACCGTTACTATGGTTGGTAAGTTACTGGGTATAAATAAAACCTATAGACATTCTATTCAGCTGTAAACTATGTCTTTGTATATTCCACTTTTGAGATAAAAAAAACACATTTCCAGAAATCTATGGACAAAAAAAACTTCTAGGCTTCCCATCGTCAACAGATTTGATTCATTCGAATTGGTATCAATAAAATGTACTGCACCAATTATAATTTTTGAAATGACAACATAAATTATGCCTTAATATTCAAGCTAGGAAATGTATTAACTTACAATGCCTAGAAAAACAACAAATGTTCAACTGTGTCGGTTTACATCATTATGAAATCAATAGACCTTACACCTTTAATTCTTTTTTCTCTGTAGGTTTATGTCAAGTATATTAAGAATATTCATTTTCAATAGATAGTATCATCTATAAATTTTTTCAAAAAAAATTTTTGATACACATGAACCAAATATGTCTCGGCACAATCATGTCGCTGTAATTGCAAATGCTCCTTCTCAAAAGCTTCCAACACTATTCCGAATCAGAAAACTATACACACCTCTCAGCAACTTTTGATGCTTTATGAAGCTCAGATCAATTTCATAAACTACACCTCCCGATTTGATCTCCACAAACTTTATTTGAAAAATATATCACGACATGTTTCTCACGACATGTTTTTCAAATAAAGTTTGTGGAGATCAAATTGTGAGGTGTAGTTTATGAAATTACTATGGATCTTCATCAAGTAACGGCCGAATCAATCAGAAAAAAAAGCTCAGATCAGACCTTCTTTGGAGTATTGATCTCGTGTATGGAGCTGATTCGAGACGCGAACATCACTTACAACCTTGATAGTCTGGAATATCGAAGAAAGGTTAGGGGATTTGCCTCTCTTCTATAAATACTTTCACGGGAAGTGTTCAAGTTACTTGAGCACATTTGATTCTACCAAGAGTCATACATATCAGAAATACGCGGAGGACTGTGGCTGCTCATCGTTTTGAGGTTCAACTCAGTACACCCAGAACTTCGATTTTAAGAACTTTTTCATTTGGAGAACTGTTTTTATGTGGAATTAACTTCCTGAGAATGTTTCTCCAAATGGATTTAATCTCCAACGATTCAAATATAATGTGAATCACTACTTTCGCAATGACATCGCTCTTAGGATTTTCCTGTAGTGTATGTGTTTTGTCCTTTAAAAAAAAGGCCAAAAGAGGAGAGAAACCCTACAAAGTCATTGCCGACAATAGAAACATCGACAGTATTGAAGAAGAAATGTTCGTAAGCACACAGAAATCACTTTTTTGAAAATCAATTTAAATATCGACTATGTATTCATTCTATCATAAGTTTTCAACTTTCCATTACAATTGATGAAGGTGCAACATTGAATAAAGAGAATGATAGGTTATAGGTTGTATTATGAGACATGAGCTTACGTAGCTTTCTATATTAAATTGTTTCATTTCCAGACTTTCGCATTTTGAGATTCGTTTTTAGTTAGTAACTGTCTTCATTACCTACTACTGATAATATTTAACGAGGTCCATTTTGAGAGAAAACTTCATCTGAACATATTTATGTTCTGAAAGTTTTAAGAAAAAATAATATTTTTCATATCTTTGATATGATTTTTCTTCAGTTCAAAATATTTATTGTGAAAATTTTAGATGGCGTTTCTGGACTATTTGGCTTTATCGGCGAATTGAATTACAGTTTCAAATTATGGATTTTCATTAACTTTTTGTAAATACGAATGGCAAAAAAGTAATTGTAGTGGAAGATTGCATAGAAGTGAATTCTAAACATGTTGGATATGGAAGGAGTATAATAAAAATTCGTGAATAATTTTCCAAAGAAGAATATGGTTATGAATGGAAAGGCATAAGTATGACTGTATA